GAGAGGGAGGGCTGGGCCTCCCTTCTGAAGCTGCTGCCCCCGCGACCCGACCCCGGATAGGTGGAAGAAAATGGATGGATGGATGGAAGGAGAACAAATTTTCTTCCTGTAACTTTCTCAAACCAAGATTTTTGATCCTGTGTTCAGGAGTAATTACAGCAGTAGTAGTTACATCGTAGGATGGCAGTGTGAGGCCTCCTCTTCAGTCTAACCCTTTTGATGTTGGCTTTAGGATATTTTATGGCCCCTGTGGCAAAAACAGGTCTTAAAGGAGTTTCTTCCCTAATCTATGGTAAAATCAACAGGTTTGGCTTTTTCATACTGGGATGGAGCCAATATTTCTGATGGGAAGCTTTAAATGAATCAGGGAGTTGGTACTGTTGGGTGACAAAGTCCTCCTTTACTGATAAGATCAATAGATGTGCTTTTGGTCTCCTCAAACCTGTTGGTTTGTTAAGAACCAACTTCATTTGTTGCTTGTGAAAAAAGKGGGTTTTCACAGGAATGTGGTTTGTTAGGTGTCATAAAACAGAAACCTGTGGGTAGATTTTAATAGTGTTTGTTGGATTGTCACAAAAAATAGCTTTGTGCAATGAAGTCAAGTCATTGAAGACTATGAAGGTAGCCACAGCTTAAGGCAGGCCAGGCCAACCAGTCGATCGCGATCAACCGATCGATTTTTAACTGGTTAGCAGTCGAACACGGAGCTTGTAGAACGCAACAAGCACCAGAACGCCCATGTGCCGTTTTAAGTTTTGTTTTGTCATTCTGTTTCTCAGCCACCTACTGTACCTCCGTGTTTAATGCATAAAAATGGCCGTCTAGGCCCTCCTCTTTTGATTGACACCTCATTTGACCAACTGTGTTCATCTATCGGCCCTCCAGAACCAATAATCTGTSAGAAGTGACCAACTTCCCGTTTCCGTCATCCTGGGCTAGATTGACTGTAGAATTGGCCAATCAGCTCCGAGCTTCGTTCTGATGCCACAGCTGTGTAGCCAATCACCGTACCTTTCATTTGGTAGTTTGAGGGGGTGGGACTTTGTTTAGCCAATCACAGACCAAAGACAGAGAYGGTCGTCATTTGTAGGCGTATAGCTCCATCCAGTGGGCAAACAAAGCTATGCTCACGGGAAAACGTTTTCTATCGTATTTTGACCAGTTAGCTGACTAAACCTGCTTATAAGAAGATAATATATTTGTTACTAAGTGTTTCGAGTGCTTCAAGACATGGAAGAGTGATTTTTGTGGCCAGGAGAAGTTAAAATATTTGGATTAAAAACACTTTTGGTCGGTTGTTTTGAATCACTAATTTCGTCATATTTGGGGACAAATATGCATCAAAACTAAGTGGAAAACAAATGTTTTTTCGCTGCTGGTGGTTTAATAAGCTGTGTGGAATGTTAATGCTTTGAAAAAATATGATTGTTTATTGCTGTGAGTAAATATGGATGGTAGAATGTGTTTTGTGGGGGTTTTATCTTTAATTTGAGCCCAGAGTGAAGTCTCTGTGTTGAAGCATTTAGAAATTATAATGTTTTAGACAAAGTGTAAATTAAATAAAACTAGCAACACATGACGTTCTGTTTTATTTACTTTAAAGAAGTGAGGAGTAGGGAGATGAAAAATTGTGTTTTTTTGATACTGAGACTGGACGAGTAGATCTCAGCAAAAGTAGCTCTTGGTTCAAAAAAGGTTGGTCAGCCCTGAAACAAGGTATTGACCCTTAAGGAGAACTTTGAACTCCAYTACTTACTTATTGGTGGAGCTCTCTAACAACAACCACCGATCCTCTGCCACCAGGATCACTGACTTCAGGTTGATTGGAAGGAAGATAGAATAAACCCGTCCCTCTAGAACGTCCAGCACCTCCAGCTGGTTGCTGTGCACACAAACACAAACACAAGCTGATATTCCAGCATTACARTACGATTTTTAAAAGTGTTGAAGAGAATTTAGTGTGGAGTCATTTACCCATCCTCTTTATAGAAGAGAAGCCAGTTTTTATGGGCAAATTCACGGCACATCTTATGGCCTCCCTGCAAACAAGCAACAAGTAGAACAGATTATATTTTATTTTTCATTACTGAATGGAAAACATTCAAATCAAGTAAAGGTTATTAGCAAAAACATTCATGAAAAGCATAAAACGCAACCACAAAGAAAGGAAAAACAAGACAAGTTAAATGAATCCAGAAGGTTGATTCTTATTTGTCTGTGTAGAGTGTGAAACGGACCTGTTGATCCTTATTGCTCCACCAGTTTGAGGCTTTGAACGGAGTCTGATCACCGTCTGGAGACAACATCAGCCTCCGCACGGCACCGCTTACCAAGTCCAAATGTAGCACTGTGTTRCTCTGGCACAAACACAAAGATACAAACAGGAAAAATAATGAAAACAGTAAAATATCACCTGTCCTTAAACAAATATTTTCTTTTTTGTTCTGATTGACAACACTATTTATGTGCCTTACAGCCGGTCCACATATCAATCCAACAGAAAATATGAGGCAGGACTTGAAAACTGTTGTGTTCTGTGCAGTTTTGCAAAGAAGAAAGAATAAGATACTGAGTGTTTAGATGTGCAAAGATGAGTGGAGACACACGACTCTTTTTATTTTTGTTAAAAATATGCTGAAAACAATGTTATTATTATCCTTCCACTTAATTAGGTTCTACTTTGTGTTGTTCTATCTTTCAAAACTTGATGATGCATGACTAATGGTGCACAATCTGTGTTTTATTATTCTGCAAATGTAACCATGATACATGTCAAACGGTTGTCCTTTCCTTACTGCCAGCAGAGGGCGCTCCTCTCCAAGTGAAAGATGCTAAATGTCAGCATGGATGAACTGTGAAATCCAAAATATGTTAATCCTTCAAGTTAATAAAATTAAACATAAGAAATGTGTCTGCAGAGGTCCTAAACATTTTCTGTTTTGAAATTCCTCCATTTTTTTCAGATTTTTGTGAGAATTTTTAAGTAATTTTTTTCATCAATAGTAAATTTACTATAATTTACTGCAAAACACAGATTTTGACTCGTTTCTTGTCAAGACTAGTCCTGTGGATGTGTTCAGGCCCTAGAAAAAGTTTTGTATCTGTCCCGAATATTTAAATATCTGTGTGTTCCCAGGTGAAAAATAAGTGCTCTTAAAGGCATTTAAAGTATATTACAAATTCATATAGAATGCTTATTGTACATTCACAGTTCTAACAAGCTTACTGCAAGTGTTTAAAATATATATTCTCTTGCTCTTCAATATACATTTTAAAATGGTACTTAAAATAAATTTGTAATAAATACATGTGTGGCACCCAGGAGTATTTGACCGTGTTAAAGTCACCCCCCTCAACATTTGTTTTTAAATTTAAGACTTGTGTTTTGATTGTTAATGTTGTGTGGCACTGACTCACAAAGTAAATTCAGGTTCAATACCAATTTGTGCCAGTAGATGGCAGGAGTGGCGCATGTGAGAGAGAGAGAGAGAGAGAGAGAGAGAGAGAGAGAGAGAGAGAGAGAGAGAGAGA